GAGCGCAGCGCGGTTCTCCTTGAGCGTCCTATAGTTATTCGTCGCACGTTACATGTCTACAATGATGTGCTTTGTTCCATTTGTTAGCGTGTAATGTGATGTCATGCCAGGACGACAAACTTGTCGAATGTCGTTCGCTACCATAACTGGACGATTGTTATCACCAATATGTTTCAAACTTGTTGTTGAGTGCAGAAAAATCGATAACCGTGAGTTTCTAAGGCCAAATTCTCCGTTTAAAACATATTGTAATCTCTGTTTTGTCAAAGATGAAATACGATATATTTTATACAGAGATTTTAGGCTTAGAAACCCACGGTAAGTCCGATTGACTAACATTCCGGGGAAAAATACTCGTTAAAATTAGTCAATATGTTTAGGCTACAGTAGAGGAAAGCAATTTGCTTCTTAATCTACTTCTCTTTTAAATAAGTCGTTTGTTATTTATCATAATATTATACATACGACATTATTACATATTATACGACATAACTGTTATAGGAAAATGAAAAGACAGTTTTAAAAAGTGTTGAATACGAAAAAGATAATACGAGTAACTTGAACAGTTCATTGAGTTTTCTGCTAATACAGGAAAAAAGGGATCAAATTATTAATAGCGTTTTCACTACCAAACATAAATTGTTTATTTCCGTTAATTATTTAAGCATTTTAATAACTACTTTTTGTCTTTTCCACATTAATATTGGGAAGGAACGAAATAATAGGTGCGCGTCAGTTATACGTGATTATTTTAGAACGAGTTGTTTCCCGTTTTCATATTATAATACGATTTTGTTTGAATATTGTCTATTTGTTTAGTATACAAGTTAATCAATTGTAAAAAATGTTATTAGATATTTGCAGTTTTAGCAGATTTTGAATTAATTTAATGAAACTTTATCAGGATTTTTGGAAGACGCGAGTCAATTTGTGCACTTCGAAAAGTTAATTAAACTTTTGATGATTCTACTTGAATTTTTGACTTTTGAAATTATTTAAAATATTATTAGTATATCTATGTAGTATTAAAAATGTTTTTTTTTATCATATTTAATAGATGTTATCGACTGTTTTAAATAGCAAAACTTTTTATGGTTTAAATATTGCGTATACATAAGTCAATATACAGATAGCAATTGTAATTGATGAATAGTGACTAAGCAGATTATAACGTTTCTTGTTACTTGTACTCAGAAGTATTGTTCGATCCAAACAAATAATATTTTACAAAATAGTAATTAAAATTATTGCTTATTGGCTGATTACATTTATGTACCATCTGTGATAATAAAAAAAAACATATTAAAAATACCTTTTGGAATCATAATATCATTACGTAAATGTTTTTCTCAGTATTTTATAACAATCTTACTAATATTATAAATGCGGATGTTTGGATGAATGGATGTTTGTTAGAAGGTATCTCCAGAACAGCTCAACGGATCTCGATGAAATTTTTTACAAATGTATAACATAGCCTGATGGAAGACATTGATTACTTAATAAGTTTTTTTTTAAATAAAAGACGGTTTCGAAGACAAAAGCTAGTTTTAAATATAGCCTGTTTGACTTAGGAAGAATGTAGAATTCCAACGGTGGAAGAATTTTAAAATGGTCTTGTAAGTTTTAAGTTTATTTTGTTATAAAAATAAAAATCTTTAATCTGAACTATAAGTAATTAGTATTAATGTCTTAAAATAAATTTTAATCCATTCTATTTGCTACGTTTGTAGAATATTGATTTTGTTCCGCATTCACTTTACATACGGCATACACAGTTTTTAATATTAAGTTAAGTTGAATCATTGACATGGGGCCTACTATGTATGCGTAGTGAGTCAATACGCTTTTGAGTCACAGTTGTTTCCCTGAATTATATTTGTACTGATTACTGGCACTGCATAACTCAAGTACAAGTGTATTGATACAGCCTGTCTTGAAATACATTTGTTCAGTTCGTTGGATTATAGTTCATTGAGTTTTATCAATACCTCTGAATGTGCGTTTTGATATTATTATTCATGTTTTGTAATCAGAATGAAAGGGTTGACGATATATTTGACGCCGCACAGAAGACAGGCGTGAAGTGGAAGCAATTCCGCGTTTCGTCTGATGAGTGTGCGTCCCGGAGGCCTAATTTAGTCCTCTTTCCCTTCCCATCCTTTTTCTTATAAGGATAGGATGGGAAGTGGAAGTGGACTTTCCGGACGAGAGGATACATGAGAAGGGAAAATGTTTTCTTTCTGTGCATCCTCTCCTCCGTCGATTAAAGGTAACGCATATGCAGTTGCGTATGTCCATGGGCAACGGTCACTTCGCTATTTCAGCGATTTTAGGTGGCCGCTCGCTCGTTTGCCACCTTATGAAATAGAAAACAATATTTGGGAAATTAAATCTAATGGAGAAGTGAGTTAAAACAAGTGACAATATTGATATGTTATATCTGCTTGCAATTACTGTGGTAGATATATGGATATATATCTTATAATAGACAACTTATAACCATTGTTCTTTGAATCTTTGCAAGACAGTACTACAATAATATTTATTACTATTGTAATTTAAAAAAAGATTGAAAATACTACTAATATTATGCATCGCTTTGGATATATTACGTACGAATATGTTTTATCTATACAATTAATAAAATTGGATTGTCTTCATATGATATCGAAAAAGAAAATAATATATAACGAACTATTTTTTAAAATTCATGTCTGTCTGTTCGCAAAGTCGCGATTGTTTCGGGATATTTCTGAAACATTTGACGGGACTTTGAAGGTAGCTAATGCATGCGAGCATATCATAGGCTACTTTTCTTTGCTTTATTTTCCGCGCTGACGAAGTCGCGGTCGACCGTTAGTACGTCATAAAAAGCGATATAAAAATTGATAAAAATAGTTTATGTGTCACGACTTCTGTGAGTGGGTTAACTACTTTATATTATGACAGTCGTATCGATATAACAATCTTTTTGATGCCGCAATTTTGACAAGGACATTTTTTCTTCTTCTAATGCCTCTTCAGTCTTGAAGGTTGGCCGCAAACTTGGAATATTTGTTGACTCCTCCATAAAGTTAGCTACTAAGTTGCAGCAGTTGCCTTCTGCACCAGACCATTCTGATGTTATATTTGACATTATTTTATACTTCGTCAAAATCTTATTTCTTACTAATAGTATAAATGTAGATATATGGATGTACGTTTGTTAGAAGGTATCATCAGAATTTGTCATAGACATAAAACATGGTCTGTACAAACACATAGGCTACTTATAATATTTTTTTATATCGCGCGTATGAAGTCGCGTTTAACAGCTAGTATGACAATAAACTTTTATCCTATAATTTACAAGTGTAGAATATTTGCTGCAATATTAAACATGCACGATGTTATTATATTGCTAAATATTGGTTGTAATACGGAAATCAGTTAACCACGACATGCAATGACACGCACTGAATGTAAGAAAGTGTTTATGTGACAGTAAAATATCCTAAACTACTAGTTAATCTAACCGTGGGTTTCATGTCAGTATCTTTGACAACACAGAGATAGAAATATGTTTTAAACGGATATTTTGAACTCAGAAACCCACGGTAAGTCGATATGTCGTAAATAAGAGTATAAAAACTATATTTTGGCTTTAGATTATCAACAAAATATTTATTGAGTATTCATAATTACGGAGTATTATATTGTAAAGAGATTTCAGATCAATAATATTGATAAATATTGATGAATAATTAAAATATTAAAGCATGCAGTAATCGTACAAAATTCATAAAAATGGAAACGTTCAAAATTACTTAGTATATTCAGGGCGTTAAATATACTTTGTCAAATGACCCTGAGTATGTTTAAATTGCGTTAAACAAACTAAGTGAGCGCGATATCCGGTTAAGTTACACTTCAAGTTTGTAACGGGCACTTGAATGTAATAAAATTGAATAGTAGACATAGTGATATTTGGGTGATTAAGTTAGAATTTTAGCGTAGGCGCCAGTAGCCTTGCGGGTATATCTCACTGTCTTAAAGGTTGTCCTACACCTCCTCCTTATAAGGTAGAGGTAGGCTATACTTAGTACACTCAGCACAGAGTATAATGCAATCGACCCACGCAATATTAATATTAATAACCTGTTATTCATTGTCTTAAACTCGATTCGGATGAGAAATAATGAATAAAATCTTGAATAATATTCATTCTTTGCATTCTAGCTGTCTCAACGTATGTATGTTGAAAACGTTGAATATTCATATTTAAACAGCAGCTGATAAAGTAAGGTCTGAAGAATTTACATAGTCTGTGTACATATGAGTACATTCTGTTTATTACAAATGCCATTTCAAGGTTTTTTAAAGTTATATTTAAGACGTAAAAAGTGTACACTTATGTTTATTTTGAAGTGCGTAATAAAGTTATATTATAATAATTGATTTATAGAGTTTGTAAGTGTTTATGTAATACAGTATAACATTTTCCCATGCGGAGAGTCGGCGAGTCAGTGTTGTATGATCAGTTACGGACGCTAACTGGGTTACAAGTATTACGTCGACGCGCGTAACCGTAGTTAACATCTAAGTTACAAAACAAATATAATTAATACATTATTTTCATCTATAAATAACTTATCAGTTCTGCTTCATGCACTACTGAATGCTTTCACTACTTACAAACACGACAATTTATTTTTCAATAATTATTATCTTCCGTACGACTTCGTTTAAAGGTAATCAATAATTACTATCCATTTGCTGGAATTAACTTTTTATTGATATTTAATCGTTTTGATTGTTAAATTATCTATCACGTAATTTATTATCTTGTTACTAAAACATTGACAATAACTAAAAACATAATAAAATTAATAAAACACAGATCTTATTGGATCTTATAAGAGTACAGATGTCTAAAATAAACCTTAAAACATGGTGGGTAGCTTGTAAGCAAACGCTGAGATCATCATTTGTCAGTTGCATATGCAATGCATAATCACCTGAGCAGCTGCTAACGCCAAGGCGCCAATTAAATAACACAACGGCCACATGTTGTACTTCAACGTTACGCTTATCACAATATTAATTCACGGTTTGTTTGTTTAGTTGTCAATCGTTAGCGCATCATGGCGGCCGTCCGGCGCGAGGGACCGAGTCACACTGACAGCTTGGGCAAGTAACCGGCCTAACTTACAAGAACTAAGGCCAGTTTCACACGAGGGATGTATAGCGAAGTTTATAAGAGGATAGAATACAGCTATCGTTTCAATGCACCGTATTAGAACAGTACTGTTTAGTGTCCGTTTAAATAATAGCAGTACTGTAGAGTCAACTGCTCTGCCTGGTTGTTCTGTCCTGGTGTGTAAGTAGCATAACTTTACTTTCTGTGAACGGATGCGTCCACACACGCACCTATTGTCTTAATGTTTGCTAAAGATGTTTTGTTTGTTCTGACCATATACGACTTTATCGAAAACGAAACTTGTATATAAATATATACATCGGAGTACAAGCTTTACCTAAGTTTGTTTGTAAGTCCAATAAGATTTGAAGGTGTCCCGTTTTTGTTATTGTTCATTATTTTAATAAAGTGTTTTTGAAAAGTAGATTCTTGACTTATTTTAACAAAGAACAAAGAGTGAGACGTTTACCTTTATTATAAAAACAAAATATTATTCAACAAAAAATTATTTCACTCACGGGCAATAAATGTAAATTAATGTACTTAATTTGCTCGGGAAAAAATCTTTCTTAATGCGTTTAAAATAAAAGAAACAAATATTTTTTTGTCACACATGATCTAGATAACTTATCTATTAAATTATGTTAATTTAAATTGCATTGTTATGTTAATATAATATAATCTGATGAATAAATATCGAGATGAATGTCTTGCCAAACTCTAGTGTGAAGTTGTGTTCTATGAAAATGTTGCGTCGGCGGCGTGGCTCGCAATTACGACACACGCATACACACAAACTTCGTATGTACACGTTACAAACACACTGAATCACCCAGGTATGGCACCCGATGATCCTTCCTAAACTCTATCTTTTCGTTTTTTGTCCGTTTCGTTCGAACTAGCCTGGACTTTTGCGCTTTTTTATCAAAGCCTGTTTGACTTGTTACATTATAAATTCTGAGAAAGACAAACGTATCATAAATTTTGAAAATAAATCCTATTTGATATGCAACAACGAGTAATTTTTAAGAATGTCTTTTTCTGTCCAAAGGACATTGAAAAGATTTCAACGCGTCACCAAAGTAAGTAGAAATTGTGCTTAATTAAGAAAAAAATGAGAGTCGATAAATTAAGACTAAACTTAATTAAAGTTAACTTTATGTAAAGATATTAAAATACGCGACTTAAATTAATTTTTGATGTGTATGTTAGCTGGCAACTAACAAACAAACTTATAAGATGAAGGATTTACTATGACAGCGGAGCAAGGAGGCTTTCAACCGGGAGATCTTGCATGATAAAGCTTGTCACCAAAGCAGCGGAACTCTTGGCAGGGATCCTGAGACATTTTAGAACGTGTTAAAGAAAGAGAGCAATAAAAATGTGAATCCAGTATACTTTCAAATGACGCCATCTAGTTAACATTTCGTTCAACTTTTGTAGTTAACATCTGTACGAAAAGAGGGCGTTGCGGTCGCCGGACATGTCTCCGCCCAAAATCAATAATCCAGTGGCTTGCGCTGTCCCGCCGATTTTCACATCAGTATCTCGTAAGGGAGCCCATTTCACTCATTTTCGTGTTGGTTAACGCGCACCAGTGCTACGTGAGACACTACTAACCTCCCCAGCTCGCCCTAATAACGGTAAGTAAAATAATAATTAATATCTGAAGAAAATTGAATCATTATAACATTTGCTAATATTAAAGTAAAGGTTCATTCATTAAATATATGTTGGGAGAATAAAAACGTGCACAAATCACTCTTATTGTTGCGGGGTTAAGTTCAAATACGTACCCCGATGTAGGGCGGGGATGGATCCGGCATTTGTTACACTTATATATAACTAATGAAGTGTAAGCCCTTTTAATATAATAACGTTTTAAAGCTCATTGTTATTACAAAATATTGTATAGTTTTCTGTTTTCTATTATTCTTAGATGGATATTTTAATTTATAACTCAAATTATTTTAAAATTATTGATTGTAATATACTTAAAGATTTTAGGCTTAGCTTGTGTGATTAAAAAAGAATAGGAAAATGCAATAATACAATTAATTAGTCTATTTTTCTTTTCTTATAAAGCTACATTTATTAATTGATCTATTTGTACAATTTACAGAAAGCATTTAATATTAAAAGTATTACAAAGAATAAATAAATGGTATAGCGTTATTATTCTTAAATAAGAACGTGCAGAAGTCGCTTTCATTTATTGAATACTAATCGAACTCCCTCGAGTCTACGAATTTTCAATTTCGTAGTTTATTCAGGCTCGGGACAAGACGGTGGCAATTCTTTTTAAATAAACGCCTATGAAAAAATGAATAGCAACTTTAACACGCAAACTTTGCATTATTAAAATTGTGAATGTACTTTTTACGATAATTTATAAAAGTTCCAGATGACCGATTCGCCTTACGTAGTTTATATAATAGACGTGCGTGTGCGTGTATGTGTTTGTATTGATTGAACAATTCAGAGATTTTCAATCGATACTTATGTAACGAAATAAACTAAGAAACTTGGCGCTAATCCAGAAGATAACTAAGCGTTGGACGCAAGCTTGAGTTAAAGTATGAAATTTTCTAGATTGTTGTTCTACAAAATGTACAGATTCTCTAGTATTTTCTCCCTTACAATTTTTAAGGAACTAAAAACTGTATCTCTGTCTCCAGGATGTTTCTTAACAGTTTTAAATTACAAAATCAAGAATTGTTATGAAAAGTTACCTTTAAACAAACACATTCAAAAATAGTACATCTCTATCAACTCTTAAAATATATTTTAATGTATCAGTGACATTCTATTGAAGTCTATATTTTCGTGAATAAAAATATAATTATATTTCCCCGGCAAATCACTCGAGACTTGAACAAGAAAATCATGTTCTCAGATTTATTTTTGAAGTCTCTTGAGAATTTTTTCGTACCTTCCAATGTTATTCCTTGCCGTGTTCTAGCCTTTCCTTTATTTGAACAAATAAAATAAGTTTCTGGTCGAACGGTTGCAAAATCAATTTAAGCGATCGTTCGTGGAAACGCGGTGTACATTTTCCTTTGAAAAATACGACGCGTGCAGACGACTTTTTGATGTTCTTGTTATAGATAAATCTCTCTCGGGGATTACGTAACCGTCCATGACAATAGCCCATGTATTTTATAGCAGGTTTTTATCTAAGACGAAACCAATGTTATTGTTTCAATTTGTTTATTCAATATTATATATTATTTATGAGATATATAGACAAATAGTTTACCTGGAAAAGTTCTGTCGTTAAAAACATTGTTTTAAATTAACTAGAAATAGTTCAGTTCAGATTTTAAACTTCCCAACCCTTAAACCTATCCAAATAACAGAATTAATATGAGATATGTCATCATTCATTTTGTTGGCTGACGAAAATTAAATGTAAAGAACAAGGAATGAAATGAATGGAAATTGGAACGGACTACGATCGTCTCATTCACCGCGAAACGCAGGAGTAAACTTACACCAGCTACTTAGCTACTTAAGTTAAAACTGGGTCACGACTACGATGCCTTTATTTTTAATTGTGCCAATAAGGGTGCGTATACACCATAATAGCTCATTATTCAATTAATAGCGTATATTTTAATCACGAATTTAAAACCCTTCACTTTCTTTAAGTACTTATTGTTCAATTTTTTAACATAAGCAGATTTTTGTTAATTTACTAATATTTCATGTAGCATTCCAACTAAGCTCAATGCTTGTGCTTGGATATGGTTTACTCAATAGTCATATCGCGGGATTCGAACCCCAGATCTCGTGATTGGACATCCGTATCCTTAACCATTAGGCTATCGACCCTTATTTTGATTCGTCTTTGTGTTAGCTGCAGTCAACTAGGAAATAACGTATCTATGTAAAATTTAAACAGATTATTAAAAGGATAATAAGTTTTCTTTAATGAGCGTGTAGTGTAAGATAAGATATTTTTTGATCCTCCCGAGTCCGAAGCATGTATCTATACGAGTCACGTTTTGGGTCAAGAAGGTATTCAGCGGGTTTACGACAAGCCAGCACTTATACCTACATCTATGGTTATAACTTGCTTGTTTATGGTTGTTTTTTATAACTCAGTGGCCGGGAAACTAACTTTAACTATTTACTGCGTAATAACAAGTAAATTATAGTGTAATAATTGAATTTTATTGTATTAATGATAGAGATTTGTTTTTTTATTTACGGTACTAGAGAATTTTCTCTGATTTTGTCTTTTTTAAAGTATCGTTTTAATTTTGCAAGTTAAATTTAATAATTGAGATATTTGTTTTAGCAGGTAACAAAACGCTTGACATATTTACATCTAGTACTTGAGGGATTATTTAAATAATAAACAAAACAAAATGTCTTCAAAAAAGAATGGGAGTCCTTTTGTTGACTATAGTTAGGTATTTTATACCTGAAAATGATTACATACATATTAAAATGTAGAGGTAATATTAATAATAATATAAAACACAGGCCAACCTATTTCAGGAGCCAAGGCTCCAAACAAAGTGTAGGTAAAAGTACAAACTGCGAAACATGAAGCCGGCAAATCATAAATACAAGTCAAATTTATCATGACTTTTACTTCAAATTAAAAAAAGAATTGTCTTTGCAGGTAGTACTACTTCTACGTTGCTGCGAATCGTCCTGTTCTGGACATCTAAACCTCGCAATTATTTGCGAGTAAAATAGCTAAGGTAAGAACTATACTAATAGTATAAAGAGAAAAATTTGATTGTTTCGGTGTTGCTATTGAACCGTTTGAAAAATTATATCACTGTTGGGAATCTACACTAACTACTAATGTTTTATACTTTGAAACTAATTGATGTTGAGTCCTTAGAAATTTGATTTTTTTTAAAACAAATTACTAAATACTGGCAAGTTGTTAGTAAGTTCTCAACTGAAGCTGATTGTCAATTGTCTATGTCATTATTTTTATTTAGAGTGTTATGTAGGTATATCATTATATTGGATTAGGAGCTGTCAAAATAGAGCGGTCGGGGTGTCCTGGCATCTGTGGCCCGCAGGCCGCGACCACATCAACCCTGTCTTTCTCAAGCTTCCGAAATTCCTTCACTTCAAATGTCAATTACCTGAAAAGAAGGTATGTAAAAATTATTTACTTTTAATTTTCTTAACATTTATTATAACTTATTTACTACCTTATAATTAAAGTTAAACTTTTCAAGATTGTTTATTCAATATTTGGAATTTATATTTATTATTTAATTCCTTCAATGTAAGGTATGTACAATTTCTTTGCTATTTTTATTAATATTTTATAACCTTATTGTAATTTTTTAATTGAATTTTACAAAACAGTTTAATTGAAATACGGAATTTTATCTTAAAATATCTAAAATTATCATACATCATTCGTTTCATTATCATTTGTGTTAATGAAAACACGCTTACATATTTACTATCTTGATTTACAGCGTAGACGGTAATTGACCGTTGTAATCTTAACAAAGATTTATAAATTTAGTAAAAAGTGGACATTCATCGCTAGAGTCATTTAAACTTTCCTATATGTGAGTCGTTTAATATTGATTTAGGTTAGGTAAGCTTTATAAATTTTTAGTTAATAATCACGAATTTTGTGATTTTTCTGATTCTCACGCTTTTCGTGGGAAAAGTTATGAACTTTATTACTAATAGAATTAGGAAAAGCTCTGGAAAGGAATTAAAAAATGCTTAACTTTTACCGATTTCTAAGATAATTTTCTAAAATGCTTTCGTTGTTATAATATTTGACTTTAGAGCTTATATTTAAACTGTTATGTGTGAATTTAAATCGATTCAATAATTTGTTTTTAACATTTATATTTATGACCACCAATTCTGCTAATAACAATTGTTTTTTCAAAGAGGGTATGTTACGCATAGATTTCAAAAAGGGTATGTTACGAAGGGGGTAGATTCAGATATGACGACTGATAGAGATGTATTGAGGAGAAGTACATAGCCGACCCTCCGTTGGGATAAGGACAGGTTGATGATGATTACCTGACTGAAATAGCAGAATTGAGGGTATGACCCGCTTCACCGCGTCGCTGCCACTTCCGTTCCACACATTTATCCCCCCACCCTCCTACATATCCGCTGCGTACTGTGTAGCACCACTCATTCGTACAGCAACGTCCACGCCGGCCGGTCGCACGAACATTTATACGTTTGCTTTTGTAAAAAAAAAACAGTCGACCATTGTCTATGCATGGCGCTTGTTCATTGTTGTCAATCGATGTGGCTGTTAGAATAATATTTTTTTTATAAAATTCTAGGTTATGTTAGTCGCAATAGAATAGTTCTATTCATATTAGGAAAAAGCACATTGATAAATGAATACATCACTAACTGGAACAAAAAGAGAAGTGAACTAATTTTATCATATCGTTTATATTTTGTATTTTCAAAGTGAGTTACTGCCGTCAAAGAGAAATAACTTCTTATTGTTGACCTAGTAACTGTTGAAGAACAAATTTTTTAACAAATATTCTTAACAATTCCATAAACATTATGTCATTAGGCAAGCGTTGTTAAAAAGGGTACGAAGGTTAAGTTCTGTGGATGTACTAAGGCAGAATAATATATGATAAGTTTTGTACTGGAGATATCTTGAGTATAGGCGTCAAAGAGTGGCTACATTATGTGCGTGTTCTGGTCCCTTTGCCCCCTTTGGTCCCGTGGCGGTGCGTTGTGCGGCGGTCGCGTAGCTCAGTGGAGGCGTTGCGCAGATTCAGCTCGGGCGATCTGCAATCCGAGTGCGATGAAGGCGAAGTGGACCCCTACACTGGCCGCCCGGCCACCACCAGTCAGCCGAAGCCGCAGCCCCAACACCAGCGGCCCGTCTCCCAGGGTAAGTCTTACTGCAAACGTCCATGCTAAGAAGAAGAATGGCTCATCAAAAAAGGCTACTTTATCTAACATCTCTCGTCCTTTTCTTGCCATTTGCCCACTTGCTCTGTCATTATCACTGTTGGTCGCGATTAATGATAAAACAAATCAAGGAATCTAATTTGCCCCTTAATAAAATAAACTGGGCATTTTTTAACTTCGCCATTAAACTTTGCAAGGCTTATGAAAATCAGTTTATCTCATTACATGAAGCGAAGAACTAGTAAAACTTTTAATTTGTTTGAAGAAGAACTACGCTGAAGTAAATTGATTTCTAACTTTGAGACAACGCCTTGTGACGTCATAATGCAGAGACTCAGTCCATAATTTATGGCTTTTATTTCATTAGATTAGCCACAAAGTTCTTACACAATTCAGGTGTAAAAACAATTTTTTTAATGGACACATTTTAAGTATTAACTGAATTCAAACAATTTCGGTTTACCATTTCGACGTAGCTACTGGTGGCAGCATCGGGAGCGCTTCCAGTGTATCTTCGGGGACGGCGGGGGCTGCTGGGCCGGCGGGCCCGGCTCCACCGGGTAGCGACCTGTCCCTCAACCTGCGCGGCGGATCACGAGGCACTTCAGCGCCCTCCTCTCCTGCCAAGTCCCGGGAGTCCTTACTGCAGCGCGTCCAGTCCCTTACCGGCGCTGCTAGAGACCAGGGCGCCAACTTGTTAGGTAAATAGTAAATTTTGTACTTTATTCCTGAATAGTCGGTTGTCGTTCAACATCCTTGTCGTTTGATCCGACGTGTTTATACCCATTATCCAAGTCGTGGGAAAAGTCCTTTTGTTGGTTTTCTTCTCTTATTGTAGTAAAATGTGCTGCAGCGGTAGAACCGCATCTCTTCTTTAAGGATGAACTAGTGAGAAGGTATTCGTTGCGTAGGGATAGGGAAATAAAATATTCTTACTGTATAAAAATTTAATGTCTTCTGCTCTTCACTATACAAATTGACCAGACCAACCGATGACGTTAATGGATTAAATACAGTAATACCGAGATGTTTAATCCAATTTAATATGTATGCAATAAGGTCGAAAATTGAATGCAGCGTAGAGTAAATAGGAAGGTTTTGTTTAGTGTTTGGCTATGGACAGGTCAATTTGTACGGACATGTTGACTTTTGTATCGAGCGCGGTTGTGCTGACGGAACACTGACAATGTTTCGTAAACTTTCAATGCAAACAGTCCGCCTCTGCTGCTGAAGTACTGAATGAAGACATAATTGGATTTCGTTGCTTTGTTTCTCTATTTAAGCTTTATTATTGAAAGTAGGTTGATTACAATGTATTTGTCAGCAGCAACTGAATGGATTAGTTAGAATGGTTAAGACTCTATACAACCTCAAAGTAACTAATAGAAAAGGTCGAATGAACCACACGTTTCATGTCTCAAATGATAATTAAATTAAATTTTCTTCTGATATGAATATCTGAATATGAATTATTCATTTTAACTGAATTAAAACACTTAAGTATAAGCAGAGTTTTTCTCTTGTGTCATCAGAAAGTCTAACGAGCGATTTACAACTGAAATAAAAAGTTTATTCGAGTGCCTCTTGACTGCCCATTCACGATTCCTCCCACTTAAAAACAATTTAACAAGACAGAACAAAACTAAACTTTCAATGGATACTTGATCTTTATGAAAAATCTTATGTTGTAAGCAAGACCATATAAATGCTAAATTCATGTCAAAATTTAATAACCTAAGCGTTTGAAATAAATGTACTTACCGTGAGTTTCTGAAACTAAAAAACATATTGTTATTTCAAACATTTCAAAGATAATGTCAGGGATGACGATATGCTTTAAACGGGAATATTGGTTTTAGAAACCTACAGTTAAGGATGACTTTTAAAATAACATAATTATGTCATCAATCCAAATCGTTTTAGTTAGTTCTACATGTGGTTATAATTACTTTGTATTTAAAATTCAAATAGCAGCTTAGAAGCAGTCCTATGTAATATTACGATAATCTTAGGTTGGGAATAAAAACACAACATTTATGAAACTCATTAGCTTGTTTGTGTAGCGGCATTTAACATCAGTCGACTCGTTCTTTTTTTGACTACCTACATAAAACTAAATACGTAATGTTGGTAATAGGCAGTGTAACATCAGTGGCGTCGGTGGGTCGCGGCTACAACCGTGACCGCTGCGTCACGCTGCTTGTGGTGGATGACCAGAATACGGACTGGTCCAAGTACTTCCGCGGTCGCCGACTGCCTGGCGAGTGGGATATACGCGTCGAACAAGCGGAATTCAAGGTATGGTCTTCTATTATGTTTTTATATGAGAATTGATAATTGAGTTGATTTATCCTGTTGTCAACTGTTAAATGTCTTAACCTTTATTAGCCAAGAGTTTCAATTTTGATACCAATCTTTTAAACCGAATGTTCACATTACTATTATTTTTTTAAAGGTTGGCTGTACCTATTTTACTGTTGTATAATATTCTTTCCAACGAAATTAAAAAAAAAAAAACAAATTTCATTATTGTTTTATTTTATCAAGCTAACACAGTAATATTCAAAATAAATCAGTTTCGTATGTAAATCTGGCTACTAAGGGTTAATTTATCTGGGTATAAATGTTTTAACATTTTTGCGTCTATAGGTTGCTCTCAATATCATCTTATTGATGGACCGTGCAGTAGAAACCTTAGAAATGCTCGGACATACGACCAGATGTATACTAATTTATTATGTTCGCGTAATGAGTTCTTAGTTTACTTACGTAATTAACTTTTGTATTGACATACGGTTTATTTTTAAAATGTGTTTTTTGCAATGAATAACTACCGTTTGACCACGAGTCCAAATTAATGCTATCTGAACTTCGACGTTATAATATAATATATTTTGATGTATGTAGCTCTACTTTTTATTAGAGATAAATTGTTAACGCAAGAGCGACACTCGTTACAGTCTACTCTTCTATTCATTACAATGGATACATTTGTGGAACATACGAATTTTTAGTCAATTTATTTCAACCACAGTAGCCGAATTACATTTTATATGGTAGAAGCTGTCGCCCGCCACTCCATCAGCGCATATTTAAAAAAACTAATTACGTAGCCTATGTGTTCTGCCAGGCTGTGTTCTACATTCATACCAAATTTCAGCGAGATCCATGAAGCCGTTCTGGAGATACCTTCTAACAAAATCCATCTATCCATCCATTCATCCATCCATCTAAACATTCGCATTTATAATATTAGTAAGATAAGTCATTTTTATGACAAACAAATATCGTCTCTTGTGAAAGTAGAGTCCCTTATTTAATTTATAAACATGAGGTTGTGATATGAAAAAGTTTTTATATCAAAATTAATCTCATTACCACGAAGTCAAGTAAGCTGAAATTGAAAGCGTGATGGTAATAAATAACTATAGTTATTTCGGAACGTGATTTAATTTAAAGAAAACATTCCATATCTTTTGTTTTTAGGTTCATAGAAAAAATTTCTTCATGATATCATTTTGCATATTATATACACTTGAATTCTGCTAAAATTTTGCTGTCACATTCTTGCTTACATGAGTAGGGAATTTGTTATTAGCCGACTTCAAAAAGGAGGTTATATAAATTCGTTTGTTTACAGGAGCTATCTGTAACGGCCAACTCGGATGGCGCCAACGTGTCTATGTCGGTTTATCGAAGTGGCACCAAAGTGACGCGATGTTTTAAGTGAGTATTATATAGCTATAACATGGGTGCCTTCAAGAGTAAGGTGAATAGGTTTTTAATAAGGTAGTGTGTACCATACTACGATCATATAGCCACACTATCAAAGTGGTCAAGCACTGGTTTATTCATTATAAAAAAAAAGTGTTTTTTATCGTTAAACGAATACAGAACATGCAATATACATGTGAACATGAATTTTATTTAAAAGTATAATACAATGAATTATTATAATAAGTACCGTTGTGTAGAGTTTAATAGTGTAGGTAATAAATCTTATCGACATGAATGCGGTCAAAGTTTGCGCATTGCACAAAGTTTTTACACAAATTTGCGCATTTTAACACATTTTTATTTTAATGCGTTCTCTTTTCACGCGTCCGACCAATTCTATTACTGTAATTATATACAATGATTTATTTTTGGTACTATTTCAAATAAAAAACTTTTGCAAACATCAAGTTTTTATATTTATTACAAAAACAACGTTTTTCATATTACAAAAATAGTAGTACAAAAAAGTATTTTTTACTCATAACAAAAATCTATTTTTTTTTTAAATCACTGATATAAAAAAAACATAGCACCTTATGCACAGTGTGAATTTCGGTGATAAAAAAATAAAAGTCATTGTGGTGAAAATGTCGCCTCTAACTTATAAAGGGTTAAATATCATTAGTTTATTGTTTGGTCAACATTCAAAAAATCATGTAGTAATTTGTGTAGTTTTGTATATTTTCGTTATGAAAATACCTATATCCATAATAACCTATTTTGCATTTTTTAAATACACAAGATTTTTACTCGAATACAAAAGTAAAGGGTTACCTTTAAGGTTGTAAAGTCGCCATTAATTACGTTGGGTGATTTGTTAATGTCAAGTCTACAATTTATTTCCAGCAAAGGCTTACAACTTCTTACATTTATTTCAACTATCAAGATTTCAACAAAGTAAGAAGGAAAGTACTTTCGTTTTAAAAATAAAAAGGAATACCTGTCTGAGAATTCTACTTATTATAATAAGACTTTGCCAAATTAACACAAAATATGTTTCGTGTCATTGGTTTATGTTTATGGAAATACTAGCGGCCCGCGACTCCATCCAGGCGGAATAAAAAAAAGTTAGTAGCCTATGTTTTCTTCCAGACAATATTCTATATGAATGCTAAATTTAAACGACATCCGTTCCGCCTTTATAGAGATACCTTCATACAAACATCCATCCATTTATCCATCCATCCATCTAAACATTTTGATTAAATTTTATACTAGTAAAAAATAGGGTAGGGCTCGGAGCCTACCCGAACTTAGCGTAGGCTCCGAGCCCCTCGGTCGGGGCCTATAGTGAGCTGATGATGAACGAAATGATGAAAAAAAGAAATACATATAAAAAGAAATATATGCAGCTATTTTGTATTGTAATTAATATCGAGTATATTTGTAGTGACTGTAACATTTCACATTCACCTAAAGTGATTATATTATAAAGCACCCAAAGGGAAAGTTATCTTCATTCGACCTCAGAATTTGCGACTGAATTTATGATTGTCCCATTTCATAATCTGCGTAATAAATGGGCCACGCGAAGTGCTCAGTCGGTATCATAAAGCGGTTTTATAGTACATTTAATAGTCAACCGACTGCGAGAATGTATTTCGAATGTGTTTACATTAGATTTGCAAGTATGTGCTTAAATTTATGAAGATTTTCGAAACGCTTTGGTGCTGAGAAAATGTAAAATTAAGACTTGAAATAGGTTAGATGTAGTTTGCGATTATTAGTCATTCTGTATGCCAATGACATTATACTGAAATTCTTTAAACACTTTAAGCACTATTTCAAAACTGTGGTGCCCACGCCGACTACATTCGAACCACCACTGACCGCGAGACCGAGGAAGAACTCCCGATGGGTTCGAAACTAGTCTTTGACAGAGTTGAGACGTAGTACTTCACAAAAATACTTGGGGTTGAAAAGGTTTAATTAGGTAACATTTTTGTGATTGTTAGCGTGATTTGCCCTGATTGTCGCTGTTGAATAGTAGTGTAATGTTATCCTTGTTACAGGCCGGACTTTGTGTTGGTGCGTCAGAACGTACGCGACGCAGGCGCAGACCACCGCGCTCTACTGCTTGGTCTCAAGTTCGGCGGCGTGCCTTCTATCAATAGCCTCAACTCTATATACCACTTCCAGGTAATTTAACATATATCAGTCTAATATTAGATATACAGTCCGTATGTAGTAGAATACTTTGTTATTGTTACTGAGGGAACCCCTTAGTGTAGATATAGAGAGTTTACTCTTTAGTAATCACGACTCTGAGTGTATGAGACTCCATTATCGAGGCTATCTGTCAATCTTTATTAATTTGTGTTTAGTTATAATTTTTATAATCGTGTCTTTATAAAAAATTAGGAATGTTTGTCTCATTGTTCAATCTTTAATATTTATGTGTAGGTTTTAAAAGATATCGAAATCTTGTAACTCTTACATAATATTAACAGAATCGTTAAAACAATTAAAGAAACTAATAATAATAATAATACTAATCTTTTATTCAGACACATTGTCCATACAAAACAAAATATACAAATTTAAATTCTTTCACAAAAATAAAACACAAAATAAAACAAATTTCTTCAGATCACATGTAGACGTGTCCACGTGCACTGGACAGTCCAATCCTACTCTATTAACAATGAGTAAATCTAATAAATACTGTCATGTTAGTCAGTTATGTGACATTATTTGTTGAAATTAGAAATTATAAGAGTTATTCTTTGATGTTATCTATAAGGAAATTGATGAGGGCATAATGAAGAAACTTCTTAATATGTATCGGATTTACGCTGTAACATTGTATTAGAGTTGATGTATGGAGTTTGGACGTAAGATTACAAAAGTTTTGGTTATTTCTTCGTCATATAGTTCTAGCCTTTTAGTTAGTTTTCGAACTGTTAGTTACCCTTAAAGTTTGTGTATTTGGCGAACTATTAATACGTAAAACGTACCGTACTAGGACTACTACCGTACTAGGACCGTATTTTCGAGTAAAGTTCTTTTTGTTAAAGTATAAAATTAGTTTTTAGCTTGAGAATACTGAAAAACAGATTTCTGAGAATTGCAAGAAAATATTAATTTCCTTCACAGGCACGTAATACCATATTAACAAATAATTTGATTTTAGCATTGCCCCCTTTTAAAAAACAAAATTGACAACTTACTATTTGATACTTATTTTCTTTTTCTAACTATTTCATACTGTATAATATCAGTTGCTTTTAATTGTTAAAAGGATCGTCCATGGGTGTTCGGTCACCTGCTCCAGCTGCAGCGTCGTCTCGGCAGAGAGAACTTCCCGTTGATCGAGCAGACTTACTACCATAACTACACCGATATGGTAAGTCATCTACGCAGATGTAAAATTGCCGCTTTAAAATTTCAGGCGCTAACCATATATGAAATGATTTAACAGTAATCGTCCGATTTTGAACAAACTTTGGTTGTTGAAAGTTTTTATATATCCAGGGAGATTTTTTCTTTCTTAATACCCTGTGTTGCTGAGCAACGCATGTATTCCGGTTGAATTTAGGTATGTCTATAAAACAACAGTAAGTTTCTTAAGTCTTTATTTTATGTAATCGTTAACCTAGTTTTTTGTTAATTTACAAATTTAACTTAAACATAAATAATAATATAACTTAAAATAAATAATACAGATAACGTTAGAATTTCACTTCAACGCTTACACAATCAACATAAAGTCCAAAGGATAACAAATAATAGAATTTGTGAGTAAATTCGTCATCATTGAATCATACCAAATACTTTTTTCTTGTAAATTCCTATTTCGAGTCGACATACACTCAATTACAGATTCATAGCCATATAATGCATGCTGCCTGCGTTTCGTAAACCTTCATGAACATGATGAATAAATTGTTAGGGTTCCCCAAAACAAGATGGACGTGATACAGCCCTTTACAATGTTTGTGAGGCGCTAACATAATATAAATTAACCTAGTAGGCGTGTTAGAACGATCGTTTTGGCTTAGTAACTCATGTTTGTATCGTATATCGGTGAATTATTAGTATAAAAATGTAAGGTAACATCGGAATTTTCAAAGGCGTGTCGAGATATACAAATGTTTGTTACGATTGATGTTTACATTCGATGCGGCGATTCAAGTCATCGTGCTATTGAAGTGCGGCTTCTGCTGACACCTCGTGAGTGCGGGCGCCCTGTAACACAAACATAAGTCTTTAAACACACAAACAACACATCAAGGAGGAAACGCACAAAGGAAACTTAAATTTATCACACTGAAGACCGATAATATTTTAACAATTATTTCGTTAACTAATTCAGTGTTTTCCGTTGGCCGATCAGCTTACCAATGTATCGGCCCACTGTATTTTTTTGACCGATTAAGTAAATTGAAACAAAAAATATTTTTTTAGTCGGCCGATATTGGTTCTACCGGGAAACACCCCCTTTGGTTCTTTTAGAAATTGTGGGCTATTTATAGAACATATTATTATTTGTCGAGTATATGTTTTATATAAGTGTTGCTATAGTGTAAACTCATAGTTTTACTCGTATTTACCTTGTCCAACGGCATCGTCGGTCGCGATCGTGCAGGCAGATGCCGTGCCGCTCGAAGCAATCGTCGTAGTTAGTAACGCACGTGTTGGGCGACTTTGTCCGGCGCCGTGACACGTGAACCTGCAATATTATATTATTAAAACCCATGTAGGTACATAGAGGACACTTATTTCGGTTAAATGTGAAATTTAATTTTGTTTGATCCAATACAGTATGTATTCACATTTACTTGAATTAGGACGATATGGAAATACAATGCGAGAAAAATCGTAGATTACGCCTTTGTTTTAGAAAACAAAACACTGCATGCAACTCCAGTGCTAATATTTCATGGGTTCCTTGCGTGTATTTCGAACATTTTTGTAACTTGTTTTGTTACATGGATAGGTTTATTTTACTATTATTTCTAGTTATTTTCTTGGATGGGCATTATTCCAATATTTTCTACGCTTTGTGTTAACGTTTGTGGTCATATATGGATGGTATTTATCATCATACCTTGCAAGTGCAACCCTGTTTATATAGCAGCCTGAAGCCTTTTCTCTGCCGAGGTGTCACATCCCGCCATTTGTTCACGTAACCACAGAAGTCTATGTGCGCTTGAAGGTGCACAACGTTACCTGTAAATAATTTTATTAATAAAAAAACTATCTGTATAATACTCAGGGAAAGAATATGAATCAAATGTAATAATGAGCGCAATTGTTTAGGCTAGGCGGTAACAATGGAACTTAAAAACTTACACACACTCTCGGAAAACATTACCCTAATGAATCATTCTGACAAATAAAACACGAACATAAATATCTCCCTCAATTAAGTACAATTTTAACTTTTACTATCCATTTAGTTGTGTAACACAATAGTTACCTGTTATAACATAGGTCTCTCTGGGCTGTAGACTGACTCCGCATAAGGCTTCGTGTGACGCTGTCAGCAATCGTCCTGATTTAAGTGCTACAACCGCCTTCGGTGTCGTCTGCGGACAAAAAATTTATTTATTAAAACAAATCAACAACTCGATTTTCTCTGACGAAACACTTATACACAGTTACACTGTCTTCCCTGTCATACTCTTTGAAGAAAACAAAGACACACGATAAGGTTTATAGAACAGTCTTCACCTTGTAATTATAAAAACTCCTTTGAACATCATGATTATTTTACAGGTTATCTTTGGCTTCCTTGGCCTTGAAATAATTTGCTACGACGTGTGCTACTTTCTTCTAATTAGCGACATAACTTAAACGTTTTAATTTTTAATTTCATTTAAGAACGTAAGCGAGCTATTAAATTAAAAGGGTGTAAAATTGTATGCATATGAGTGATTAAACGTAAGCGTCCTTAGACTTAAGAGCGTTAATGTCGCTGGCTGATTTTAAAAGCAAAATAAAATGTTAGCTCTTTTAAAGTTAAATCTCCCGGACGTGACAACATTCAGAAATCGAGCCTTAACAATTTATCCACGGAGACTTTACATTACAACCGAAATTCTTATAATATTTTGAGTCTTTTGCTCTTGAATTATGCATCGCGTAATGGCGTCCGACTTACCCATATAAAGCTCGTTAAAAGCACAAAACTGAATAACAAAAGCTTACTTTGTAGATGTTTCGAATTTTCACTTTGTACGCGTCGTAAGTGTCATTTCCTCTGAATAATTTTTGTACTCGACCCACGATCACTGAAACGATAACAAAATCTTTATGACGTCATGTAAAACATGTTCAAACGTTATTTTACTTTGTATTTAACAAATACTTTGTCTTATGTTATTTAAACAAATAATTACATATGTTTATTTATATATGTTAGGTCATTTACTAACAACTTGAACTATTATGGTTTTGGCTGAAATGATACGTGGTACCGAAACTATTTTATATGAATTTCCGATTGGGGAAAAGTTCATATTTCTTAAACCCATTTTCGCATTGAACAATCTTATAAATGCGAATGTTTGGTTGTATGGATGGATGGATATTTTTAGAAGGCAATTCCAGAACGGCCGCATGGATCTCGCAGAAATTTGGCATAGATGTAGAACATAGTTTGGAGGAACACATAGGTAACTAATTAAGTTTTTGTTTAATTCCTCGCGGACGCAGTTGCGGGCGACAGCTAGTATACAATATATGAGAAGGAAGACTTTAATGGTCGTTGGATTGTAGCATAGTTTTTAGACTTACCGAAGTCGCTTTTACAAAAGAGCGTCTGCGGGTGCTGCGGCATGCAGCTGCAGGCTTCAGCCGCGCGCCATGTCGCCGCAACTAGCGCCAACGTCACCCACCTTGTCAGCATCACGTACTCTGACCAATATCCTGTCAACAAACAATAATTCTTTAGGAATTTTATCAGGATTTAGTATAACTTTTATTTCATACATCTACTTAACACCTGGATTGTTGGTGGTGGGGCTGTCAATCTATTAGTATTTAATTTTTGAAATTTGTGCCAATAACGTGGCAAATGTCTAAACCGATTAAGATCCTCCTCCATGTACTTGTAGTACTTGTTTTTTTTTTTGATAAAATATTAGCAGATTTTTGTGAATTTACTAATATTTCTTTTACCATTCCATCTAAGCTAGGCTTGTGCTAGGATATGGTTTACGACAATAGTCGAATGGCGGGATTCGAACTCTCGACCACGTGATCGGAAATCCGTATCTCTAACCATAAGGCTATTGGCGCTTACAATGTCATATCTGTATTAAGATATAATAAAACTATAATAGAATCAGATTCCAGTATAAATATTTCCATTAAAGAGAACTAATATTTCAGAGACAAGCATTTTCGATTTAAACTAATTGCTATTGTGCATTGTGCATGAAATAAGTTTATGACAATGTCACCTCAGACATAGAAACCGATGACCCAAATCTGTAAACGATGCATTCTTTGTCAGCTCCGGAAATTGGATGATAAATATTAGTGAGCGTCACTGCAATGTTGCAATACAACGTACAAAAATATATCGACATATATTTAGAAGCATCAAGTTCAATATAAATAAAATAACGTTCAATCTATACATGACTAAGAAAATTTAACATTTTCTAGACATGATATAATTTCGTTACTTATAATGAAAAATTTATACTGTTTATTTTTTTGTCATACTGTAGACGGATAGATTCGCAAGTTCGTATTCATCCCAGGTAATTTCCCAGACGGTTAGACCGAGTTTGACGGGACTTTTATTGGAAGGTAGGTTACTTATGCGGTAGTAAATAAGGCTAATATTTTTTTTTATGCTATGCTGATGAAGTTGCGGGCGATACCTAGTTTACCTTCATATGTTTAAAAATAAATATAAATCTAATCCTTGCTTAATTATATAAAAAACATAATAAAACACCTTAATACCAAGTTTCAAATATTCCTTACTTACAAATGTGGTTAAAACTGTTCTTGTTTTTCACATGCAAATCTTAAGTGTTTGCATTTCTCTTTGAAGTATTACTTGACCTCCGTGAGTGTGCTTCCGCAAGCTAATGCGGACCTCGAGAATGTCTTTTCCTAATTTTAACTAGACATACAGTAAATTCAATTAAAACTGTGTTATATTTAGTTTTTACTTAAACTTGAAATATTTGAACGTCCCGGGGCCTAATTTTAGTCCTCTTTCCCTTCACACCCTTTTTCTTATAAGGAAAGGATGGAAGGTAGAAGTGGAGTTTCCGGATGACGGCATGCGTGGGAAGGGAAAATATTTTGTTTCTGTGCATCCCCTCCTCTGTGGATTAAAGGTAGGCGTGTTGCCTATGCAATTGCGTATGTCTATGGTCGCTTCGCTATTTCAGCGATTTCAGGTGGCCGCTCGTTTTTTGAAATCTTTTGGTATAAAAAATTCTTCCTCGTCCGAATTGTTATCAAAGTACGTGATACAATTCATTCTTAAAGGCCTTGCACTCTACACTTGCATTTAAAAGCTTAAGTATTTTTTGCTGAACGATGTCATTACTATTAGTTACATTTGATTAAATGTAAAACAAGAGCTGGTGTAATCATATAATAAATTTACTTAACCTACATGGTGTTGGATAGTAAGCAACATGCGGTCGGCACTGAAAATTAATTAAGTTTGTTAAAGCAACTGACAATTTCTACTATGTCTAGAACTTACGGAATATGTAGCGTATAATTTATTAATTCAGTGGAGAATGTACGACCACGGGGTGACAAGCGTAACTCACATAATACGTCGACCTTAGAACAAAACTTCCTTATAGAATGGAACTTTATAACTGACAGGTTCTTAGTTATGATAGTGCATCATTATCTTAACAGATATTAATCCTTTTGTCGATACCAAAAGTAAAGCAAAAAGTATTCTTTACAGGCGCAAATGAGTAAATACACGGTCCGCCTTTGAGCTTGGACGTTAATCGGATTTGCCTGTAAGTCGTGCACATAGACATTTGTACTTACTCAACACCAGAGATGAATAAAGACCGTCTGCTAACTTTTTTTACTTTTGTATTTCATCGCAGACTGTTCTGTTACTCTTTTAAATTATACACGCTTGTCTGCATATCGAATATTCTAGAACTTTTACTCTTTGCTTGTTATACAGAATATATTAAATGATAAAGAGAAAGAAATTAGTTATATTGACGCAATGAAAATGATCACGTTTGTAAAATCAAAGAGAAACCATAGTACCAGTCAAAATCGAATTGGAAATTTTTAATCTGTAATCTTCAATCGTTTACTTTTTTCTTTTTATATAATTTAAATAAATATAAGCGTACACTTAATTCTTTACAAGTTATGAAAAAGAAGGATAAATCATTTTTTATCTTTAAGTAAAGTAGTGTAACAAAAGTTTAACAACAATGGCTGCAAATTATTTTCTTTTGCTGCATTCTATTATAAATAATAAATAAATTAAAATAAAACATCAACACAATTCTATAGTAAATCAGTTTAATTCTATCGAACTTTACAATTAAGAAAAAAGTAAAAATATCCAATTTCTAAGACGGAGAATTCCCACAATAGCTGTCGATTTTATTTTGACCTTCATCCCAAACGTGACAATAAGCGTCTCTAACAGCTTACGTTAACAAATCTAGAGGATTTTAATATAAAATGTGTCAGAAACAAAATTGAAACCACGATATTTACCTTACGAAAAAAAACACACGAATAGATCGAATAAGAAGGTTATTATTAAAAAAGGTCGAACGTTTCATTCAGTTAATTTACTAAAAGGTTTTTATTATCATCGCAAACGTAATATCAAATAATAAATAAGATGAAAGATCCATTCATTAACCGTCATTTATTTCAAGAATGTTTTTGACATTCGTCGACCGAAGGCAATATTAAAATAATAATAAAATTTGGTTTTAGCGATGATTAATTTAGGAATATATAAAAACAATAAGCAAAATACATTAACATATTATTGGTTATGGTTAATTCCATTCCAATTATATATAACCAATATTTATTCGCGGCGGTACAAGGGACACGCATGTCGAATTGACAGCAATTGCATTTCTGTGTAAAAACAAAATGGCCGTCCTTGAATTTAACAATCGTAATAACCATAGTCCGGAGTTGTGGTTATATTGTTTTCTTTGCAAAATTATGCGCTGACAGAACAACTTTCAAAAGATATAAAGTTTTTATTGCATATATTTAAACCAATTAATTGCGTACAATACTGGGATAAGATAATTGCTGAACTTTTTTAAAATATTGATTATGCTCTTTGGTAGTTAACTAAAAATAGTTTGGTAGCGTAAAACACTGAGAATCCTTTTAGTTATTTCTACATAGTCAATCAAATTTTAGACAATTCATCATACTAAATAATTTCAATGAACATCGATATATTTATATTCTGCACCAAATAATTTATGATTTAATTTCGGCCATTAATTCTTTCGAAGAAAATCCTTCGTGAAATGGTTTATTAATTTAATTATACGCTCGAAGAACCTTTTAAAAATTACGTAAAGCGACCTTTATAAATGAATTTCTATGAACATATTTTGTCCGAATTCGTAACTTTTAATGAATCAGTTATTTTTCGTGTTAAATTAGCTCATTTCTTAATTTGAAATGTGGTTTTTATGCAGTAAATTATTAATTTAAATATAAATTTATTGAATTGGAAATAAATTGACATACGCATTTAATAAATTCTATGTTATATTCTATATTTAAATGTTGCATTATATATAACGGGTATTAAGTTAATTAAAATTTATTGAACAGAATAGCTTATTTCACTAACGCATTTAGTTAGACGACTTAAAGAGAATTGTTCTCGTCGTCGTTCCGTTCAACGCCGCAATATCGAATGCATTCATCCAAATACTATGTATACTGATGATTTTATATGTTGTCGGTAGAAGTTTCGAAATAATTGAATAATAACAATGCGGAAACATAATGAGCGCGTTCCCATGATCGCGAGTGAATTGTGACCGCCGCGGCCGCGTCGTGCCGTGCCGGCTTCCCCACAATGCCTCGTTTGTCAGGGTTCGTCGAGAACACAAGGTGATTGTTGGTACACGCGTTTATCGACTGTCGCCTCTGGGTTCAATGAACTATTACAATCCCTAAATACTTATTGGAAAATTCTTTGTCATCTTGTAAACCTACCCTCATTATCCGATTTCTTTCAGTAAAAACAAGGGAGTATTTGTTCTTTAAAATCCTTTCATCGCATGCAAATCTCCGTATGCGCTTTAAAGTACGCAACTGTGAATTGAAAACAATAACTTTCGAATTGAATATTCACCGTTTTTTTTTCCGACAGTAAAATACAAAAATAAAGTATTCAACTGAGGTTCGTATCGTTGAGTGTATCGGTGTTTACCATTTTTGTGTCCATTATTTACGGTACACGGGAACATTGAAAAGCCGATACCGCAAAATGATACCGCGACGTGCAAGCGGTTTGACATAAAACAATTGCTTATATGAATAAGTGCTGCCAACATATGAAGATGGGATAATTGGACCCCGTCTCGGGATTTTGTCTGATTTATGTAACTGGGAGCTTATCCAGAAAATTTGAGAGAAAATATGCGTTACGACAAAATTTGATGTTGTAGTTTATGCCCGATAAACACGCTGTACAAATTTATTACAACTTTTAAAACCATAGACAATCAAAAACAATTTTTAATTAGATATTAATCATAGTGTGTTCGTTGCGCAATCCAATTCTTCGTAAATTTTCGTGTCATGAATTCCAATGTCACCTATTGCGTGTTAGAAAATTTAACGATTTTTATTTTATCTAATACTTTTTCTTCATTTGTGTGTGTTTAAACGTAACTTTTAATGATTTA